TGATCAGTATAGCTAAGATCCTTTTTATTGATTAGAAAAAAAAAAAATACAACAGCTGGGCATGGTGGCTCACACCTGTAATCCTAGCACTTTGGGAGGCTAAGAAGGGTAGATCGCTTGAGCCCAGGAGTTTGAGACCAGCCTGGACAACAAGGCGAAACCCTATCTCTACAAAAAATACAAAAATTAGCTGGGCATGGTGGCGCACGCCTAGAGACCCAGCTACTTGGGAGGCTGAGATAGGAGGATCGCTGGAGCCCAGGAGGTAGAGGCTGTAGTGAGCTGTGATCATGCTGCTGCACTCCAGCCAGGGCAACAGAGCAAGACCTATCTCAAAAACAAAAGAAAACAAAACAAAACCCAAATAACAACAATAAAAAAACAAAAACTCACTCTGGCTTTGCTTATTTTTTCCTTTGCCGTTTTCTATGTCATTGATTTCTGCTTCTACTTACATTGGGCTTACTTTACCCTTTCTCTGCCTTATCAAAGTGGAACCTTAACTCAGTGCTACCCTATAGAAATATAATGTGGCACCATATTTGTAATTTAAAATTTTCAGTACCAGCCAGATGTGGTGGCTCATGCCTGTAATCCCGGAACTTTGGGAGGCCAAGGCAGGTGGATCACTTGAGGTCAGGAGTTCAAGACCAGCCTAGCAAACATGGTAAAATCCCATTAATTCTAACATCTGAAATATCTTAGAATCAGCCTCTATTCATTGATTTTTCTCTTGAGAATTGTAATGGTTAATTTTTGTGTCAGCTTGACTGGGCTGAGGGATGCCTATATAACCCATTATTTCTGGGTGTATCTGGGAGGGCTTTCTGGAAGAGATTGGCATTTGAATTGGTAGACAAGAAGATTGCCCTCACCAATGTGGGTGGGCATCATCTAATCCACTGAAGGTCCAAATAAGTTAAAATCGTGGGGAAGCGTGAATTCATTCCTTCTGCTTGAGCTAAGACATCCATGTCTAAAGACTACTTTAGACATTAGCACTCCTGGTTCAGGCTTGGACTGAAACTACACCACCAGTTTTCCTGGGCCTCCAGCTTGCAGACAGCAGATCATGGGACTTCTTAGCCTCCATAATCACCCAAGCCAATGCTTCATGATAAATTTCTTTCTATAGCTCTATCTAGCTAGCTAGCTAGCTCATGGGTTCTATTTCTCTGGAGAACCCTAATACAAGTGAAGTGTGATTCAAATTTTTTTTTCTTTTTTCTTTTCCTTTCTTTCTTTCTTTTTTTTTTTCTTTTGACAGAGTCTCACTCTGTCACCCAGGCAACCCGCCAGGCCCAAACAAGCCTCCCACCTCTGCCTCCTGAGTAACTGGGATTACAGGCATGCACTACAGTGCTCGTGCCTGGCCATTTTTTTTTTTTTTTTTTTTTTGAGACAGAGTTTCACTCTTGTTGCCCAGGTTGCCGTGCAATGGCTATTCACAGGCATGATCCCTCTACTGATCAGCATGGAAGTGCTTCATTTCTGATCTGGGCCAGTTCACCCCTCCTTAGGCAAACTAGTGGTTCCTCACTCCCTGGAGGTCACCATATGATGCAGAATTTAGCGTGGACACCCATTTAGCATAGTGCACTAAAGCCCAGAACTCCTGGACTCAAATGATCCTCCCACCTCACCCACTCCAGTAGCTGAGATTACAGGCCCGTGCATGCCTGATATCTCTGAGCCTTTACACATGCTTCTTTCTCTGCCTCCTCCCACCCCAACCTAAGTATCTTCTACTCATTCTTCAGGATTCAGCAGAGGCATCATCTCTTTTACAGAACTTTTATCTGTCAGGACTGATTCAAGTAATAGAAACTTCCTTGCACTAACAAGCCAAAAAGGGAAAAAGGGATTTAATATAAGAGTATAGAAGTATACTCTTCCTTGAGGAAGAAATCATCCAAAACTAACCACTCCATTTCATTGGGACTTTATCTCTTGTGTCTGTTCTTTCCCACCCTTAGAATCCCAGTTTGCCTCTTCAAGTAGCTTTGTTACTGCCTGTCTACTTTTCATTCTTCACCTCTAGACCATAAGTTCCTTGAGGGCAGGACCGTGCCTTTATTAATTTCCTCATCCCCAGAACTTAGCAGAGTACACCCAACAGAGTTTACAGGTGGTGAAAGAGGAAGACAAGTAAACCGGCCCTTAATGCACAACCCAGCAAGTGTCCTTGAAAATGCACATTTTCAAGGTGCATCCAGAGCCAGAGGAGATAGAGAGGACTCACCTCCCTATCTGGGCAGTCGAGAAGCTTCAGGAAGGACACAGGCTGATGCATTGCTTATCCTTTGATTGGGAGATCCAAAGGGAAGTCCCATAAAATGCATATTTATTTATTTATTTATTTTTGAGACAGGATCTCACTCTGTCACCCAGGCTGAGTGCAGTGGTGCAATCAGGGGTCACTGTAGCCATGACCTCCCTGGCTCAAGTGATCCTTTCACATCAGTGTCCTGAGTAGCTGGGATTACAGGCATACACTACTATGTCCAGCTAATTTTTTTTTCTTTGTAGAGATGGGATCTCACTATGTTGCCCAGGCTGCTCTCGAACTCTGGGTCTCAATCCTCTTGCCTCAGCCTCCCAAAGGGCTGGGATTATGGGCATAAGCCATCACACCCAGCCACAGAGAGTCTCTTAGAGACCCTCCCAGCTCCTTGTGTCTCCACTGAAGCGGAGAGAGAACATCCAGTGTATTTCTGCGTGTTACTTGAAGACAGAGGAAAGGAACAACGAGTCACAGCGCAGGGGCCTTGGCACTCTGTTTCTCTAACATTTCAGCCATTTGAGATTTCGTTCAGTTCCTTTTTTTTTTTTTTTTTGATATGGAGTCTCGCTCTGTCACCCAGGCTGGAGTGCCATGGCACAATCTCGGCTCACTGCAACCTCCGCCTCCCACATTCAAGCAATTCTCCTGCCTCAGCCTCCTGAGTAGCTGGGATTACAGGCACCTACCACCATGCCCAGCTAATTTTTGTGTTTTTAGTAGAAAGGGGGTTTCACCATGTTGGTCAGGCTGGTCTTGAACTTCTGGCCTCATGATCCGCCTGCCTTGGCCTCCCAAAGTGCTGGGATTACAGGTGTGAGCCACCGCACCCGGCCTCACTCAGTTCCTTTTTTCCATCTTGGGACCTTTGAGCATTTCATTTCCTCTGCTTAGAGTGCTTCCTCACCCTCTTTCTTTAGACTAACCTCTAAATAGCTTGAAGGTTTAAACTTACATGTCACTTTCAGGAGAGGAAGGAGGCTTCCCTCGCCCCCGAACTAGGCTAAGCTGCATCACCACACAGCCCCACAGCAGCCTGCTCTTCCCCAACACTCATTTCACTGTGCTGCCTGTTAAGAGGCTGCCTCTCCAGCACTCTGCGATCTGTCACAGCAGGGACCATGTCATCTCTTGCCTATTCACAGGGCCTGGCACAGAGCCTGGCACCTGAGAGGTAGTCAGAAATACTTGTTATTACTTTGAATTTCAATAGTTAGTGCAACTTCATTTTAAATAGAAAAATCAAGGCACAGAGGCGGGGAAGTGAATATTCCAGTGGCTTCGGGTTGGTTGCAGGGCCGCACTCAGAGCCTGGGCTGGATCCCTCTCTGCCCTGTATCCAATAGCACTGTGTCTTTTCAGTTTTTTGTTTTTGTTTTTGAGACAGGGTCTTGCTCTGTCACTTAGGTTGGATGCAGTGGCACGATCACAGTTCACTTTTTTTTTTTTTTTTTCCCAGATGGAGTCTAGTTCTGTCACCCAGGCTGGAGTGAAGTGGCGTGATCTTGACTCACCACAACCTCCGTCTCCTCGGTTCAAGCAATTCTCCTGCCTCAGCCTCCCGAGTACCTGGGACTACAGGTGCGCGCCACCATGCCTGGCTAATTTTTGTATTTTTTTTAGTAGAGATGAAGTTTCACCATATTGGCCAGGCTGGTCTGGAACTCCTGTCCTCAAGTGATCCACCTGCCTCGGCCTCCCAAAGTGCTGGGATTACAGGAATGAACCTCCACACCCAGCCATTTTGCCCGCCTGGGCAAAAGAGCAAGACTTCATCTCAAAACAAACAAACAAAAAAAGAATCAATTACATTCACATTTTATCCCTAAATATTTCAGTGTGTATCTCCTAAGAAAAAGAACATTCTCCTATACAAATACAGCACAATTATCACAACATTACAATACTATTATCCACATTCATATTCAAATTTCCCAGTTATCTCAATTATGTCCTTTTCAGCTATTTTTTTTTTCCAGGACCAATCAAGAACCATGAATTGCTTTTGGTTGCCATATCTTAGTCTCCTTTTTTTCTTTTTTGGAGGCAGAGTCTCAAAAAAAGTACAGTGGCGTGATCTTGGCTCACTGCAACCTCAGCCTCCTAAGCTCAAACAATTCTCCTGCCTCAGCCTCCTGAGTAGCTGGGATTACAGGCATGCGCCACCAAGCCCAGCTAATTTTTGTATTTTTAGTAGAGACAGGGTTTCACCATGTTGGCCAGGCTGGTCTCGAACTCCTGACCTCTAGTGATTTGTCCAGCTAGGCCTCCCAAAATGCTGGGATTACAGGCTTGAGTCACTGCGCCTGGCCTAGTCTCCTTTAATATAGAACAGTTCTCAGACTACTTTATCTTTCACAATATTGACTACTTTCTTTTTTTTTTTTTTTGAGATGGAGTCTTGCTCTGTTACCGGGCCAGAGTGTAGTGGTGCAATCTTGGCTCACTGCAACCTCCACCCCCAGGTTCAAGCGATTCTCCTGCCTCAACCTCCCAAGTAGCTGGGACTACAGGAGTGCACCACCACATCCAGCTCATTTTTGCATTTTCAGTAGAGATGGGGTTTCACCATGTTGGCCAGGATGGTCTCGATCTCCTGACCTCACAATCCATCCATCTCGGCCTCCCAAAGTGCTGGGATTGCAGATGTAAGCCATTGCACCTAGCCATTGAGTACTTTATCTTTCACTCTTCATTTTTGAAGAGTCTGGGTCAGATGTTTAGCAGAATGCCCCTAATGTGGATTTGTCTGATTATTTCCTCATGGTTAGATTCAGATTAAACTTTTTTTTTTTTTTTTTTAACAAGATGCCACTTGCATGATGCTGTGGGTGCCTTTTCATTGCAATGCCTCCATTTCAGATGTGAGAAAGTTCTGGGCCTGTAGGGTATTTCAAGCCTGGGTGTATATGGGGGAGGAGGGGATAGATGTTCATTTATGTACCAGATCCTCAGATCCCTGGGGTGTGTTGGGGGGAAGGCTCAGGGAGCTGATGGATAAAGCCACAGCTTCAGTCCTGGCAGAGTTCACTGCCAGGGATGGCTGCTGACTGCGGGGCACTGATGGTGGGCAGCCAGGGTCGAGGTGCGAACTTCTCCTTCCTACAAGGCGCTCCAGGTGTTCAGTGGCAGCCAGTTCCTCAGTTAATGGGTCACCTGCTGCTGCGGCCACTCTCTGTTGATGCAGCTACAAGGGAAATGAAGAGGGCTGAGGGAGGTGGCCATGCCAATGCTGTTCTGTGGAGGAGAGGGACAGCAAAGGGACAGGTGTACAAAGACAGAGGGAGCCATGGCCGGGCGCAGTGGCTCACGCCTGTAATCCTAGCACTTTGGGAGGCCGAGGCAGGTGGATCACTTGAGCTCAGGAGTTCGAGACCAGCCTGGGCAACATGGTGACACTCTGTCTCTACCAAAAATACAAAATAAATTAGCTGGACATGGTGTCACGAGCCTGTAGTCCCAGCTACTCGGGAGGCTGAGGTGAGAGGATTGCCTGAGCCCAGGAAGAGGAGATTGCAGTGAGCTGAGATCGCACCACTGCACTTCAGCCTGGGTGACAGTGCAAGATCCCGTCTCAAAAAAAGAAAATTAAAAAAAATAACATGAAGACAGAGGGAGCCTCTGAATAAAAAACAGAATGAAAGAGTAAGGGCCAGGGCATCAGAGGGGATGCACACACCAGCAAAGGAGAGAAAAGTGGAGGGACAGAGACAGAGAGAAACCAAGAGACTCATAAATGGCAGCCCACAGAGAAAAGAAAGCACCAGCTGATATGCCTCACTCACAATTTGCAAGTCCCTTTCTGAGGTTCTCTGGCTTTGGCCTTTGTGGGACAGTCAAGAGAGTCTGTGTTTATATCGGTCAGATTCAAAGGGCACAAGTGTTTCCCTCAAGGGGCTGTGCGGGGGTCACCTGCTCAGTCTGTACTTTTCCAAACACAGAAATTCTCCTTTGTGCCCCAGAAGCCAGGCCCTGGGCCAGCAGTTTCCTGCCAGAGCTCGGCATGTCTCCTCCTTTTTCACAGGGCTGTCAGCACTGAGGAAGGCCTACTGGTAAAGAGGAGCAGGAGAGAGGCAGACAGAAGGGAGGACTCAGAGAAAAGAAGCCACTAGAAATAGCCTTCCCTCTGGAGTGGGGAGGAATCCAAAAATCCCAGGAGCTGCCCAGCGGGTGTGACCTTAGCTAATAATAACAGGCCAGGGTTTTCTCACGAGAAAAAGGATCAGCATAGAGGAGGGTGGAGGGAAAGAGAAGCTGTTCAGCCCCCACACTGCGAGGGGTACAGACGGCACCCGGGGGTTCTGCCAGGGCCAAACTCCTCTAGAAGCTCCTGGGGAAGGGCTCTGTTACGGGAACCCAGGGTGGGCAGAGTAGACTTTTTGGCAATAATGGCATGTCTGTGCTTTTCTTTCTCAGGAAGAGAAGACAGTGAAAAGAGCATAGTCAGGAATCAGGAATCTTTTGTGGCATCACAGCTGAACCTAAGTGAAAAAGCACCTTTCTGCCCTCTGCCCTTGGCCAAAAGAACACCCTTCAGTTCCTGCTTCTTACTGAGGCGGTTGAGGAGCGTCAAGGGGCTGGACAGGACACCCCGCAAACTTTCCAGCCATTCCTGCTGCTCCTTCTCATTGGGGCAAGTGAGGACATATCTCCGCTCTGGGGTGACAATGGTGAGTCCGGCTTTCCAGCGATTTCCTCGGATGCCCTTGGGCAGGTCTTCATAGACTTCATATCCCTGCTCCTTGTTCCCAAGAAAAACCTGGCCCTGCTCGAAGGCATCCTGAAAATGGAGGGTACAGGGTCATCAGAGGGTGCCCCCAGGGCAGAGGGGCCCTGCAGCCCTGACAGCCTCCAACCTCTATTTTGGGAAGTGGGTGTGAGGTCCCTGCTGGGATTTCTGCTGAGTGGGACCCAGAATTTGAAAGATCAAAACCCTAAAATAAATCATACGCATCATCTGTTGAAAAGATACTGAGGGTGGGCCTGGTAGTTCATGCCTCTAATCCTAGCACTTTGGGAAGCCAAGGCAGAGGATTGTTTGAGGCCAGGAATATGAGACCAACCTGGGCAACATAGTGAGACCCCTTCTCTGCAAAAAAAATTTATTAATTATTATTATGAATTGTTTTTGGAGACAGGGTCTCACTCTGTCACCCAGGCTGGAAGTGCAGTGGCACAATCATGGCTCATCCCAGCCTCAACCTCCCAGGCTCAGGCAATCCTCCCACCTCAGCCTCCCAAGCAGCTAGGACTACAGGCATGCACCACCACACCTGGCCAATTTTTAAGATTCTTTTCTTTTCTTTTTCTTTTTCTTTTTTTGAGACAGAGTCTCGCTCTGCCCCCAGGCTTGAGTGCAATGGCGTGATCTCGGCTCATTGCACCCTCTGCCTCCAGGTTCAAGTGATTCTCCTGCCTCAGCCTCCTGAGTAACTGGGATTACAGGCATGCACCACCATGTCCGACTAATGTTTGTATTTTTAGTAGAGACGGGGTTTCACCATGTTGGTCAGGCTGGTCTTGAACTCCTGACCTTGTGATCCGCCTGCCTCGGCCTCCCAAAGTGCTGGGTTTACAGACATGAGCCACCATGCCCGGCCTTAAGTTTCTTGTAGAGATGGGATCTCATTATATTGCGTAGGCTGGTCTCGAACTTCTGGGCTCAAGTGATCCTCCTGCCTCAGCCTCCCAAAGTACTGGGATTACAGGCAAGAGCCAGAGCACCCAGCCCTACTTTTTTTTAAATTAGCTGGGCATGGTGGTGAATGCCTGTATTCTGAGCTACTCGGGAGGCTGAGGCAGGAAGATAACTTGGGCCAGAAGTTCAAGGTTGCAATGAGCTGTGATTGTGCCACTGCATTCCAGCCTGGGTGACAGAGAGAGACTCTGTCTCTAAAAAAATAAATAAGTGATACCTAACATTTATGGAGCACCTATTAAAATCAGCATCAGGAATTACAATGCTTTATAGTAACTTAAATAGCCATCATGGAAACCTCTGGGGAAGGCATTCTTATTAAGCCTGTTTTTCAGAGGAGGAAACTAAGGCACAGAGAGCTAAGTACTCGGCTCAAGGCAACACTACTACAAGTAGCAGGGCTGAGACCAGAGCCCAGACAGCCAGGTTCTAGAGTCCACCACACTCCTAACCACTACACATCACAGCCTCTTGGTTAGAAGTGAGCCCTGGAGACTAGAGGAAGAAATACACCTCATTTAACTACCATGGGCAGCATTTTGGATACTCATAATGGACTTCCTGAAAGCGAGGAGAAAGAAGCTTCATGCCACAGGAGATTACTTCAAGAGCAACAAAAACAAGGGGTAGAAGTTTTCCTCTCAGGGTTTCTCTAGCTCTGGGGCTCTGGGAGATGTGTTTATCCATAGCTTTCACATAGTTTCAGACAAGCACTACCCAGTTCTGTCTGAGCAAGCCCTGGGGAGGAAGCAGGAGTGGCTCTTACCAGTGGGTTCTTGTAATAGAGCAGCCTCCGCTCATGGCAATCCAGGGCGAACCACCTTTTCTTGAAAGGTTCTCTCTGCTGCAAAAGAGGGAACCTCTTACCATGGATGACCAAGTCAGTTTCTGAGGATAGAGATCAGGGGCCAGCCCAGGCCAGACCAAGGGAGCTGGCCAGTCCCACTGGTTCTCCAGCCCAGCCTCCTCAGTCAGACATCCTAGTGCTTCTCCCTGGGGCCTGGACAGGAGCCCTCAGGCATTGAAGGTTCTGCCCATTACCCTTCCAACCCCACCATACCCTCTACCAGCTTCACCCTGCTGCCTCCAGGTGCTGCCTTGACTTGGAAGAGGCACTTTCCTCTTTTTCAGGCGGTGGACAAAGAAGCCGGAGAAAAAGGAAGTTGGGGAAAATCAGAAGTGGCTACTGCTTGGCAAGGCTGAAAGTGCTGGCCTTGGCCAAATTCTAACCTAGGTCAGGGAGAGAAAGCCCGGCAACAAGAACCACGCGGAGGGGCTGCGCCTCTCTGAAAACAACGCTTTGACTACTTTTTCCGCCTGCCCAAGGCTTGCTTTCACGATTGCCTAACACAGGGGTATCCAATCTTTTGCCTTCCCTGGGCCACATTGGAAGAATTGTCTTGGGCCACACATAAAATACACTAAACTAATGATAGCTGATGAGCTTAAAACAAAAAAAATCGCAAAAATGTCTCATAATGTTTTAAGAAAGTTCACGAATTTGGCTGGGCGTGGTGACTCATGCCTGTAATCCCAGCCCTTTGGGAGGCTGAGGTGGGCAGATCGCTTGAGGTCGGGAGTTCGAGACCAGCCTGGCCAACATAGTGAAACCTCTTCTCTACTAAAATTATAAAAATTAGCCAGTCATGGCGGCGGGCACCTGTAATCCCAGCTATTCAGGAGTCTGAGGCAGGAGAATCCCTTGAATCCGGGAGGTGGAGGTTGCAGTGAGCCAAGATCACACCACCGCACTCCGCCTGGGTGACAGTGCAAGACTCTGTCTCAAAAAAATTTAAAAAAGAAAGTTTACGAAGTTGTGTTGGGCCTAATTCCAAGCTGTCCTGGGCAGCATGCGGCCCATGGGCTGTTCGTTGGACAAACTTGGCCTAACACCTTTCACTATTCTCTTAACAGTCATCCCATAAACACATTAAACCTTTTGTGTACATTGAACTACATAAGTCCCCCAGGGAGTGGTAGAAGGTACCTTTGGCCCAGTCTTTTCCATGAAGCCTTGTTTGAGGTAGTTCCTGGTGAGGAATGGCACGAGCTGTGGAAGAGAGACAGACACTCAGACACTGACCCCTAACTCACACCCCAAAGCTCCAGGTTCCCGCCTGGCTCCCGACAAAGGGGAAGTTTGAAATGGGGAAGGATGTGTGCTCATGGCTCATGGTATTATATTTGGAAAGTGCAATGGACATAATATTAATATTTCACAGAGCCAGTCAACAGCACCCCAGATGTTTGCAGAACTTAGTGGCACGGCCAAGTTTTGGTTTAAGGACTCCTTCAGTAACCCCAGGGTATGGACATAGGCAAGGCTCTGCAGAGACCCTCTTGGTGTCAGGGAACATGTTCTGAGGGTCCACTTTGCGTCAGGCTCTGGTTGCAATTCTCAATCACCCTGCGAGGTGGGTATCACCAGCCTCATTACACATCTGAAGAAACCAGGCCACAGAGAAGGGGCTGGGGATTTTCCTAAAGTCACATCACTGGTAGTGCGAAGACCTGAGATTCATGCCCAGGGCCGATGACACTAGACTGTACTCCTACCACTACACTAGGGTGCTAAAGTATAAACATGCCAGGGCCCTCTGAGCAGGACCTTGGGAAAGGCGTGGTCATTGGTCAGAGTGCTGACACAGAGCAACAAGAAAATGATGCCAGAGGCTGGGCGCGGTGGCTCACGTCTGTAATCCCAGCACTTTGGGAGGCCAAGGCAGGTGGATCACTTGAGGCCAGGAATTTGAGACTAGCCTGGCCAACATGGTGAAACCCCATCTCTACTATAAATACAAAAATTAGCTGGGCATGGTGGTGCGCACTTGTAATCCCAGCTACTCAGTAGGCGGAGGCAAAAGAATCCCTTGAACCCGGAAGGCAGAGGTTGCAGTGAGCTGAGATGGTGCCACTGCACTCCAGTCTGGGTGACAGAGGGAGACTCCATCTCAGAAAAAAAAAAGAAAAAAAGAAAGAAAAGAAAATGATGCCAGAGTGGACAGAGAAAGTTCTGAAGCAGAAGTCGGGAGACCTGGTTCTAACTCCAGTTCTGGCCTCCACCAGCTGCATTACCTTTGTAAGACCTTCTGTCTCATGAGGCCTTATGTCTCCCCTGTGTGAGAAACAACCTGGATCATGTGATCCCCAGAATCCCTTCCAGCCTGTCAGCCTATACTCAGAGATGTTTCCAGGGGTTGATGATGGCCTCCTATGCTCCCAGGCATCAACCTGGAAAGTCTAGAGCTTCAAATGACAGTCCAGGCTTCAAAGAACAGAGAGGCTTCTCCAGAGCTCCAGGGCCCAGGGCAGAGGCACAGGGGAAGTGAGGTCTGGGGAACAGCTACGGGAAGTTTAAAAGGGGGAAAGTTGTGAGCCAAAAATGAAAATATAGGTCAGATGCAGTGGCTCACACCTGTAGTCCCAGCACTTTGGGAGGCCGAGGTAGGAGGATTGCTTGAGACCAGAAGTTCGAGACCAGCCCGGGCAACATAAGTGAGATACCATCTCTACAAAAAATAAAAAAATTTTTTAAATGTAAGAAAGAAAATATAAACTGTACTACTCCCCTCCTCCTAAAATACATTCACTAGGCTTTAATTCTTCCATTTGGAGAAAACAGATGGAGTCCCGAACTGCTCAATCTTCTGAATTTGAGTCAGCACAGAGCAAGCAGAGGCCTAGGGAAACCATTGGGAGAAAAAGGAAAATCACATGGCTGGAGCACTGCTTCCTGTACTTCAGATGCCTTGGCTCGCTGGAGTCTCACAACAGCCCTAGAAAGGAGGTACTATCACCTAGGCAAGTCACCTCACCTCTCTGGGCCTGGATCATCTGTCACCATGGCAACAATACCTACTTTCTCTGAAGTCCAAAAGACCATATGCACTTATTACAGGACCACAGACCCCACCGGGATGCCCTGGATTTCCAACATGTGGATCCTAAAGCCTGAGCCAGGCCTGGTGATTGCTCAGAACCTCACACCATACACAGACATTAAATGGGAAGAAAGACACGGGATGGATATCGGGTACTGACAGTGGATGAGAGCGGCAGGGGAACATTGAGGATGTTGACCGAAGAGCAATTTCCTTTACACATGTCAGCAAAGATGGGCAACTTGCCCAGATTAAATAAGGCTGAGCATCTGCACTTTGTCCTCCTTCCTCATAGTCAGCAGACAGCACCCTCCACTCCCCAACCCATGGGAGCCAGCATTAACCAGTTCTGGGTGCAAACTCAGCAGACTGACTCAAGGGATCTGACTCGGGCCTTACTGGAATTGCTCCCAGACAGCTGCCATCTCAGCATATCGTTGGGCCTGGAGGGGACCCTATTCCAGACAACTGGCTCCCTACAAACCTTGGAATTAAGGAGCATTTAGGCTTTCAAGGACGCTCTAGGCCGGGCGCGGTGGCTCACGCCTGTAATCCCAGCACTTTGGGAGGCCGAGGCGGGCGGATCATGAGGTCAGGAGATCGAGACCATCCTGGCGAACACGGTGAAACCCCGTCTCTACTAAAAACACAAAAAAATTAGCCGGGCGTGATGGTGGGCGCCTGTAGTCCCAGCTTCTAGGGAGGCTGAGGTAGGAGAATGGCAGGAACCCGGGAGGCGGCGGAGCTTGCAGTGAGCGGAGATCGTGCCACTGCACTCCAGCCTGGGCGACACAGCAAGACTCCGTCTCAAAAAAAAAAAAAAAAAAGGAAGCTCTAATGGTTGAGATTAAGAAAATCCCAGCATTAAAATGGTTTTCCACCCCCATCACTTATAAAATCCTCTTACAGGGGAGCCTCTTGAAGAGGACCAGAGTATAGAATCTCAGAGCCGGAAGGGACCCTGAAGATGACCTGGACTAACTGCCATCTTACCAATCTGGAAACAGAAGCTCAGAGAGGTGCCAGGACCTGCAGGGGTCACACAGAAAGTGAGCAATAGAGCATCCCTGAGAGCCCAGGCTTCCTGGCTCAAGGCAGCATCCACTGCCCCACACCATGCAGGCCTCCCTGGCCCAGCCTGAAATAGGGAGATGAAGGCCCCAGAAGTCTGGAGACAACCAAAATGCAGTTCTCGGCTCCCCATCATGTTGGCCACGAAGGGCATACCTGCTCCTGTTACAATTGTTATGGGGAGGATCCCAGGCTTTCCCAAGCCCAGAGCATCACAGGGCAAAGCGGGGATGTTACAAAGGGAAGCGCACCTTTGGTTATTCACCTGCCCTTCCTGGGACTGTATATCACATCAGTGAAATGGAAATAATCACCCCTGCCCGGCTGCCATTTCACAAGACAAAACGGGCTCAAAGCACTCTGTAAGCAGCATGTTAGGGATCATTTGTACATTTTAGAGGGAGAAGGGGTCAGAAAGAGATGACCAAATGCTGAGCCCCTTGACACTCCTCTGAAGGGGAGAAACTGACCTGCTTTTGGGAGGCTGCCTTGTCATATGTGAGGCTGTAACCCCCCAGGCTCCCCTGGAGAATGCCTTGGGTTTCCCTCTGAGCTACCCAGCCCTCAACCTCGAGGTCTTACCTGCAAACAAACCTAGTCTGGCTTCTTTGGTTTCTTTTTTTTTTTTTTGAGACGGAGTCTTGCTCTGTCACCCAGGCTGGAGTGTAGTGGTGCCATCTCGGCTCACTGCAAGCTCCGCCTCCCGGGTTCGTGCCATTCTCCTGCCTCAGCCTCCCAAGTAACTGGAATTATAGGCACCCGCCACCACACCCAGATAATTTTTTTGTATTTTTAGTAGATTCGGGGTTTCACCATGCTAGCCAGGATTGTCTCCATCTCCTGACCTCTTGATCCGCCGGCCTCGGCCTCCCAAAGTGCTGGGATTACAGGCGTGAGCCACCATGCCCAGCCCTAGTCTGGCTTCTGAGTGTCTTCGAGGTCAACAGACAAGGAAAGAAGGAGATGGCCGAGAGGAGATTCAGAAATTGGGGTCCACATTTAGCTCACCTCAGACTCTGGGAGTTCAGGAAAAGCCATTTTTAGATACTGCAGACGGGCTGCACGCAGGGCGTTGAACCAGTCCACTATCTCCTGCCGAGAGAAGTGCACAGGACACATACACAGCAGTGAGATGGGGTGGGTGGGAGGCTGCGTCTGGTGGCGGGAAGTTAGCTGGGCATTGCGTGTGGGGCGCATGTATTCAGCGCCTGCACACACCCCACAGCTTGGCTCAGGGGCATCCAGGCAGGACTGTGTCAGAGCCTCGTGGGCTAACCCTAGCAAACAGGAAGCCTCTGACAGGGATAACCCCAGAGCCCCGAAAAAGGATCGGGTGAACCGCACAGGAGTTCTGCAATGGCCTCAGACAGTGCTTTTCACTTTCTAATGTGTACAAAATCTCCTGAGGCTCTTGTTAAAATGCAGAGGCATATGCAGTAGGTTTGGAATGGGGCCCAAGACTCTGCATTCCTAACACGCTCTCAGGTGATAAGATGCTGCTAGTCAGTGGAATACACTCTAAGGAGAAAGGTTCTAGGAAATCATTGTCCTCAGATGTCAAAGATTGGCATTTGGGTGGGGAGCAGGTGTGCCTGGGGATGCTCCTCTGATGAGGATGCTCATGGCAACTTAGGCCAAAGCTGGCTTGGTCCCTTCTGCTGTCACTCTGAGAGAACATGTCCCTCAGCAGCCTGGGCCACCTTCATCTCCCACCTAGACAACCACATATCTAGCTGGCCTTGATCGGCTGTTCTCCGATTGACCCTCTCATGGCAACCAGAGTGAAATTTTTTTTTTTTTTTTTTTTTAGACAGAGTCTCGCTCTGTTGCCCAGGCTGGAGTGCAGTGGCGCGATCTCGGCTCACTGTGACCTCTGCCTCCCAGGTTCACGCCATTCTCCTGCCTCAGCCTCCTGAGTAGCTGGGACTACAGGCACCTGCCACCATGTCCAGCTAATTTTTGTATTTTTAGTAGAGACGGGGTTTCACTGTGTTAGCCAGGATGGTCTCAATCTCCTCACCTCGTGATCCGCCTGCCTTGGCCTCCCAAAGTGCTGGGATAACAGGCGTGAGCCACCACGGCTGGCCTGCAGATTTTCTAATTACAAATCTAATCAGTCTGACTTGGAGTCCTGTCTACTACCCTCAGAAAAAAAAAAAAAGTCTTAAGTTCTTTACTATGACTGCTGTCTGAGCTCCTTCCATGCAAAACTATATGTAATTCTCCCAACACCTACTGCTCCTTCGTCTTGGGACATTCTGCTTAGCCCACTCCATCCCACACACACTTTTTACGTAAAACATTCTACTTCTCCCACAGGTTAGTTTTGATGTTGTAATAGATTTTCAGTGCTTGCTCAGCCCAAGCCCTGCTTCTGTGAGAACTACCCCGCCTATCTTCACCCAACCCCAGTGGCAGCCCCATTTACGGCTGTGATCCTGCCCCTGCTTAACCACAGCAGCTGGACCAGGCCTGGACCAATACAGAGGCTGGACTGGGCTTATCAGATTCCTTCTCCCAGGAATTTGGAATTGGAAGACTAAAAGGCTTGTTCAAATAGTGGTAGTTTGTGACTTTGATATAATATGATGATTGAGAAAGTCATTTGAATATGGTTTCAAAGGAATGAAACCATTTCCCTTTCTCTCTCATAGGCGAAGCACATAGGCCTAGGATTCCAGGGGTCTGTGCTCTCTTGTCCTGGGGTTCACTAAGGACCCTCTGGCCAGGTGCGGTGACTCATGCCTGTAATCCCAGCAGTCTGGGAGGCTGAGGCGGGTGGATCACCTGAGGTCAGGAGTTTGAGACCAGCCTGACCAACATGGTGAAACCCCATCTCTACTAAAAATACAAAATTAGCCAGGTATGGTGGTGCATGCCTGTAATCCCAGCAACTCGAGAGGTTGAGGCTGGAGAATTGCTTGAACCTGGTAGGCAGAGGTTGCAGTGAGCTGAGATTGAGATTGTGCCACTGCACTCCAATCTGGGCGACAGAGCAAGACTCCTCCTCAAAAAAAAAAAAGAAAAAGAAAAGAACCTTCTTAGGTCTCAGGCACTAAGGGAATGGGGCCAGCCCAGAAAAGACACGCCTAGGCCTTCACGTTGGAAGGTCTCTCCAGTCACAATCTGGTGATCCTGGTGCCAAGTCCAACCTGCATACCTGTTTGGCTCCTGAAGTTTTGTTTGTTTCAATCCTCCATGCAGGTTTTCCTGTTTGCCACAGCCCCCTCCCCAACCCTTATGCCCGTCCACTTAGTTTTTAAATCACCCCCTGACTCCTGCAGGCAGGGATCTGGAGTCCTCATTTATGCCCATCTAACAGGCTGGGGCATCAAGCACAAGAGAAGAACGGCCAGACCCAGGTTGTCAGATGCACCATACTGGGCAGATAGGAGGGAGCTGGGTATCCTAAGTGCCAGAGACCTTGGGTGCCTCAGTAAAAGTCCTTGTGGCAGTGGTTGGCATGGAGAGGGGGCTAGGGCCGTGGTGCTAGGGCCCCTTGGGAAGTTCTAGTCCCTGCCTCTGGTTCCTGGCTCCTGCTGCCAAGGTTCCTCCCTACAGCAGAGGCACATGGCAGGTAAAGTGGGTGCAGGGCTCGGGAACCATTGGCTGTGACCCGAGCAAGTTACTAACATGTCCATGACTCAGTAACGGGGGCTTATTTTGAGGATTAAGAAATGATGGACAGCAATCACCAAAAGCAGTGCCCAGGGGAGTTAACAGATGGTCACAAAATGTCAGCACCCACCTTCATCCACTCCCACTTAGCATCTCTGTCCCCTGCCTAGTCCTGAGACCCTGCTCAGGACCTGACCCAGCTTATTCTCTTATACTGGCCTGCTCATCTCTGACTGGGCTGATTTCCTGGACTATTAAATAGTGCTTCTCAGTGGCTCACCCCTGTAATTCCAGCACTTTGGGAGGCCGAGGTGGGCTGATCACTTGAGGTCAGGAATTCAAGACCAGCCCGGCCAACATGGTGAAACCCTGTGTCTACTAAAAATACAAAAAAAAAAAAAAAAAAAAAAAAGAAAAGAAAAAAATTAGCTGAGTATGATCTCAGCTACTCGGGAGGCTGAGGCAGGAGGATCATTTGAACCCTGAAGGTGGAGGTTGCAGTGAGCCGAATCGCACCACTGCACTCCAGCCTGGGCAACAGAGCGAGTTCTGTCTCCAAAGGAAAAAAAATAGTGCTTCTCAAACTTAAATGTGCACAAGACTCACCTGGGATCCTGTTAAAATGCAGTTTCTTTTTCTTTTTTCTTTTTTTTTTTTTTTTGAGGCGGAGTCTTGCTCTGTCACCCAGGCTGGAGTGCAGTGGCGCCATCTCGGCTCACTGCAAGCTCCATCTCCTGGGTTCATTGCCATTCTCCTGCCTCAGCCTCCCGAGTAGCTGGGACTACAGGCGCCCGCCCCCACGCCCAGCTAATTTTTTTGTATTTTTAGTAGAGACTGGGTTTCACCGTGTTCGCCAGGATGGTCTCGATCTCCTGACCTCATGATCTGCCCACCTCGGCCTCCCAAAGTGCTGGGATTACAGCCCCCTCCCCACCAGTTGAGGCTGGTCTCAAACTCCTGGGTTCAAGTGATCCACCTGCCTTGGCCTCCCAAAGTTCTGGGATTACAGGCAAAAGCTACCATGCTCAGCCTTGAGACTATTTTTAACAAACTCCTGGGTGATGCCAATGCTGTTGGACCAGGACCACATGTTGAGAAGCAGCGTCCCGGGGCGCACTGCCGCCTGACTGTCTATCAGTTCCTCCCCCGTATTCAAAACCTCTGGCCTGCCTTTCCGGCGGTGATGACCTACCCACATGAGAACATGCCTCTCGCAAAGGATCTCCTTCATCCCTCCCCAGAAGAGGAGAAGAGGAAACACAAGAAGAAACGCCTGGTGCAGAGCACCATTTCCTACTTCACGGATGTGAAATGCCCAGGATGCTATAAAATCACCACGGTCTTTAGCCGTGCACAAACGGTAGTTTTGTGTGTTGGCTGCTCCACTGTCCTCTGCCAGCCTACAGGAGGAAAAGCAAGGCTTACAGAAGGATGTTCCTTTAGGAGGAAGCAGCACTAAAGGCACTCTGAATCAAGATGAGTGGGAAACCATCTCAATAAACACATTTTGGATAAAAATAAATAAATAAATAAAATAACCTCTGGCCCTACCTGGCTTTGCATTCCTGGGCATAGTCACTTCTGTAACTGGACTTTCATTGGTGGCTGTGCACTGTTCAGATACAGCCATGGTACTTGCCAGGTTCCTCTCCCTGATCTCACCCTGCCCTCCTCATATCTTTGTCTCAGACTGGGAAGTGATGATAGATTAAGGCAAATGGTAGCAGAAAATCTCTAGAGGCAGCTGAGCACAGCACCAGTGAGCAGGGGAGGTGGTGAGCTGCACCTGCCGAGTCCTGGGGTGCGAGCTGGAGGTGGAGGTGGCAACTCCAGTCGTCTCACCTTCCCACTTTCATGATACACAAACAGGTTCCTGATGTGGCCATCTCTCCTGTAGGTGATCTGCAGCCCGTGGGGGTGCCCTATCTTCTCTGTCTGGAAGGTGGCATTCAAGTCCTTAATGCTGATGACAGCTTTGGGGTTTTTACCCTGAAAGAGAGAGAGAGAAAGAAAGATGTTGACAGTCCACAGGGTGACTTTTGGTCAACTTTCACCAAGGCCTTCATGCAAACAAACATCAATTTGTAAATATACGGGTTTTAAATATTCTTGCTCTCATATCAAAATTCACAGATACTGGCCAGATGCGGTGGCTCACGCCTGTAATCCCAGTACTTTGGGAGACCAAGGCGGGTGGATCACGAGGTCAGGAGTTCGAGACCAGCCTGGCCAACTTGGTAAAACCCTGTCTCTGCTAAAAATACAGAAATTAGCTAGGCATGGTGGCAGGCGCCTGCAATCCCAGTGACTCGGGAGACTGAGGCAAGAGAGTGGTTTGAACCTGGGAGGCGGAGGTTGCAGTGAGCTGAGATTGTGCCACTGCACTCTAGCCACCACACCTGGCTAATTTTTGTATTTTTAAGTAGAGATGGGTTTTCGCTATGTTGGCCAGACTGCTCATGAACTCCTGACCTCAGGTGATCCACCCGCCTTGGCCTACCAAAGTGCTGGAATCATAGGTATGAGCCACTGCGCCTAGTCTATCGTTCTCTTCTTTGTGTCCATGGGTACTCAACGTTTAGCTTCCATTTATAAGTTAGAACATTTGGTTTTCTGTTCCTTTGTTAGTTACTTAAGATAATATTATCCAGATCAATCCATGTTGCTGCAAAGAACATGACCTCATTCTTTTCTTTGTTTTTATCTTTGTTTTGTTTCACTCTTGTTGCCCAGGCTGGAGTGCAGTGGCATGATCTTGGCTCACTGCAATCTCTGTCTCCCAGGTTCAAGGGATTCTCGCAGCCTCCCAAGTAGCTGGGATTACAGACACGTGCCACCATATCCAGCTAATTTTTTGTATTTTTAGTAGAAACGGGGTTTCACTATGTTAGCCAGGCTGGTCTCAAACTCCTGATCTCAGGTGATCTGCCCGCCTCAGCCTCCCAAAGTGCTGGGATTACAGGCGTGAGCCATCACCCCTAACCAATCTCGTTCTTTTTTTTAATTTTTGAGATAGAATCTCGCTCTGTTGCTCAGGTTGAAGTGCAAAGGCATGATCTCAGCTCATTGCAACCTCCACCTCCCAGATTCTAACCATTCTCCTGCCTCAGCCTCCTGAGTAGCTGGGATTATAGGCGTGCGCCACCACATCTGGCTAATTTTTGTATTTTTAATAGAGATGGGGTTTGACCATGTTGGTCAGGCTGGTCTCGAACTCCTGACCTTGTGATCTACCTGCCTCGGCCTCCCAAATGCTGGGATTACAGGCATGACCCACCGTGCCCGGCCAATCTCGTTCTTTTTTATGGCTGTGTAGTATTCTATGTACCACATTTCCATTATCCAGTCCACCACTGATGGGCACCTAGGCTGATTCCATGTTTCTGTTATTGTAAATAGTGCTGCAATGAGCATATGTGTACATGTGTCTTTATAGTAGAATCATCTCTTTTTTCCTTTCTTTCTTTTTTTTTTTTTTGAGACGGAGTTTCACTGTTGTTGCCCAGGCTGGAGTACAATGGAGCGATCTTGGCTCACTGCAACCTCCACCTCCCAGGTTCAAGCGATTCTCCTGCCTCAGCCTCCCAAGTCACTGAGATTACAGAGATGTGCCACCATGCCTGGCTAATTTTGTATTTTTAGTAGAGACAGGGTTTCTCCATGTTGGTCAGGGTGATCTCGAACTCCCGACCTCAGGTGACCCACTGGCCTCTGCCTCCCAGATTGCTAGGATTACAGGCGTGAGCCACCACATCTGGCCTATAGTAGAATTATTTCTATTGCTTTGGGTATATACCCAGTAATGGGATTGCTGGGTCAAATGTTAGTTCTGTTTTAAGTTCTTTGAGAAATCTCCAAACTGCTTTCCACAGTGGCTGAACTAATTTACATCCCTGCCACAAGTGTGTAAACATTTCCTTTTCTCTACAACCTCACCAGTATCTGTTACTTTTTTACTTTTTGATAATAGCCATTCCGACTGGTATAAATGGTATCTCAGTGTGGTTTTGACTTACATTTCTCTGATTAGTGAGGTTGAACATTTTTTCATTTGCTTGTTGGCCACGTGTATGTCTTCTTGGGAGAAGTGTCTGTACACATCTTTTGCCCATTTTAATGAGGTTGTTTTTTGCTTTCAACATTATATTTTTGAGGTCTACCCATGCTGAGATACACCAGTCTAGTTTTCTCTTATAAATGACTATACCAAAAGTTATCAATCTATCTTCTGTTAATAGATACATTGAGATTGTTCCTGATTTTTTGCTATCATAAGTAATGTTGCAGTCAGTTTGTGCCCTGGTACACATATGTGAGTGTATCTGTGGGTCACAGTGTATGCTTAGAAATGGAATTGCTAGATTACAGTTATATACATCTTCACTTACTAGAGACTGACAAATTATTCTGCTGAATGGCTCAACAGTGATTGTACCAATATTTGCTTCCATCAATGAAACAGAATAATTCCCCTTTCCCCATACACTCACCAACACTTGACACTACCAGATTACAAAATTTTTGCCAATATGATAGGTATGGAATTGTATCTCATTATTAATTTTCACTTAATCAACATTTATTGAGGTGGTTTAGAAACAATAAACTGTACTTATATTAAGAATATAGTTTGAATCCCAGCACTTTGGGAGGCTGAGGTGGGTGGATCACGAGGTCAGGAGATCGAGACCATCCTGGCTAACACAGTGAAACCCCATCTCCACTAAAAATACAAAAAATTAGCTGGGCATAGTGGCGGGCACCTGTAGTCCCATCCACTCGGGAGGCTGGGGCAGGAGAACGGCGTGAACCTGGAAGGTGGAGCTTGCAGTGAGCCGAGATCATGCCACTGCACTCCAGCCTGGGCGACAGTGCAAGACTCTATCTCAAAAAAAAAAAAAAAAAAGAAGGAGTATAGTTTGAGCCAGGCACAGTGGCTTACACCTGTTATCCCAGCACTTTGGGAGGCTGAGGTGAGTGAATCATGAGGTTAAGAGATGGAGACCATCCTGGCCAACAGGGTGAAGCTCTGTCTCTACTAAAAATACAAAAATTCGCTGGGCGTGGTGGCACATGCCTGTAGTCCCAGCTACTAGTGAGGCTGAGGAAGGAGAATCCTTGAACCCAGAAGGCAGAGGTTGCAGTGAGCCAAGATCGTTCCACTGCACTCTAGCCTGGTGACAGAGCAAGACTCCATCTCGGGGAAAAAAAAATATATATATATATATAGAGAGAGAGAGAGAGAGAGTTTGATTTTTGACAAATGTATATACCCATGTATCCACAACAATCAAGATATAAAACATTATTAATCATCCTAAATATCACCCCAAAATAGTTCACTCATCCCCCTTCGCAGAATCTCTACCCCATTCCAACACCAGATAACCACTTACTTGTCTTCTATCAGTATAGTTTTGCCTGTTCTAAAATTTCATATAAATGAGATCATATAATACTCTTATACAAGGGGACTTAGAAAAGTTCATGGAAAACACATAGTATGAAAACACTATGCATGAATTTCAAATTGTTTTGCACCAAAATAAACTCATACTAACTTGTTATAACATGTCTGAATGGGATTTCGTTTGAGGCACTAAGAACGGTAAGACATCAACTTGAAAACAGTCCCTTTCAGAGCAATGTGAATTCTGCTAAAATTGAAGCGAGAAGAAACATCAACATTTATGGTGAAGCTTAGATGGAAGAATGGTGAAATCACTGATGCTTTCGGAAAAGTTTATGGGGACAAATCCCCAAAGAAATTAGCAGTTTACAAATGGATAACTTGTTAAGGAGGGACAAGATGATGTGGAAGATGGCGCCTGCAGCAGCAGACCATCTACATCAATTTGCAAGGAAAAAAATCATCTTGTTCATGCCCTAATTGAAGAGAAGCAAAAATTAACAGCAGAAACAATAGCTAACACCACAGATATCTCAACTGGTGCAGCTCACACAAATCTGACTGAAAAATTAAAGTTGGACAAACTTTCCACTCAATGGGTGCCAATGCCATTGCACCCAGATCAGTTGCAGACAAGAGCAGAGTTTTCAATGGAAATTTTAAACAAGTGAGATCAAGATCCTGAGGCATTTCTTTGAAGAATTGTAACAGGAGATGAAAAATGGCTTTACCAGTATGATCCTGAAGACAAAGCACAATCAAAGCAGTGGTTACCAAGAGGTGGAAGTGGTCCTGTCATAGCAAAAGCAGACCAGTCAAGAACAAAGGCCATGGCAACAGTTTTCTGGGGGATGCTCAAGGCATTTTGCTTGTTGACTTTCTAGGGGGCCAAAGAACAGTAACATCTGCTCATTATGAGAGTGTTTTGAGAAAGTTAGCCAAAGCTTCAGCAGAAAAACATCTGAGAAAGCTTCACCAGAGAGTCCTTCTCCCCCACGACAATGCTTTAGCTACATTTCTCTCATCAAACCAGAGCAATTTTGTGAGAGCTTCAATGGGAAGTCATTACGCATCCATCTTACCGTCCAAATTCGGCTTCTTCTAACTTTTTTTCGTTTTCTAGTCTTAAAAAATCTGTAAAGGCGGCCGAGTGTGGTGGCTCATGCCTATAATCCCAGCACTCTGGGAGACCAAGGTGGGTGAATCACTTGAGGTCAGGAGTTCAAGTCCAGCCTGGCCAACGTGGTGAAACCCCGTCTCTACTAAAAATACAAAAATTAGCCCAGCGTGGTGGTGGATGTCTGTAATCCCAGCTGCTGGGGAGGCTGAGGCAGGACAATCACTTGAACCTGGGAGGCAAAGGTTGCAGTAAGCCAGGATCGTGCCACTGTACTCCAGCCCGGGTGACGAAGTGAGACCCCATCTCAAAAAAAAAAAAAAAAAAAAAAAAAAAAAAATCTGTGAAGGGTACCCACCTTTCTTCAGTTAATAGTGTAAAAAAAAAAAGGCCAGGCGTGGTGGCTCATGTCTGTTATCCTAGCACTTCGGGAGGCTAAGGCTGGTAGATTAGATTGCTTGA